AAAAAAATGATTCAGCAGTAGAAAAAAACTGTTGATCTTTTGAAGTAGTCCACAGGCCAAGCCATTTTTGCATTTTTTCATAGCAGCTGAAGCACTGAGCTGCAGGGCCAAGTTTTATCGACCGAACCAAAAGAAGCAATGTCTGATAAATACGCTGGGTGGGATGAGACTTCTAAGCAAAATTCTTCCACATTTTCTTGCTCTAGTTGTGCAACATGAAATTTGGCGTTATCCTGTTGGAAAATCACTTAATTGTATCTTATTCTAGACTTCCTTAGTTACATGTTGAACTCAAGTTAATTAACTGTTCTTGGTAACGTTCAGTAGTAAATACCTGCTGGCTTCGGCTATTCCTAGCTTAGAACTTGGTTTCGGTTCAACCGTATGCACAACAGCACCTTTGAACGTTCGGAGAAGGGGTATACGATCCCTAGAATGGCAAGTTTATTCGTCTGACATCTGTGATTCGCACGCGAACTCAGCATCGGAACCAGTCGTAGATAAGGCTGATAGAGGCACAAGATGTGTAGTATTTATCCGAGGTGTTGGCCATGCAATAAATTTTATTCGTCAATTACTAATTGTTGCATTCATGGCTGGATGGGAGGTCGTATTTTAGGTGACGGATGCTCGACAGTTCACATCCGAGTCGCTAATTCCAATAATTTCCTCACCGCTTTTGATCCTTAACTGCCCTGCTGGCAGTCACTCGAAGTAATAGCTGCTCACCGCCCCCACCCCTTCCTCTTTGTGTGGCAAATTATGCTTGCTCAGGAAAAGTTTCAACACAGCATACAAGGGTGGAAGGTGCTTGTTAATTGCTGGATCTGGTGTAGGAATGAATATAAACAACTCTGAGTAAAGAGGTTTGGTAGGTTTGAATAATCAATTTGACCCACTTGGGAAAACCGCTACGGCCTCGGTGGGATTAGAACCCATGCCAGCAAGGGGGGAGGCATTAGTACAGCCGCCAACACTCTGGCCAACTGGGCTACGAGGTCTCCGCCAGGAGCTGTGTATTTAGACCACCTAGGTTCTTACACCTAGTGGATTCTATATTGATTGCTTAAGAAGTCCTGCTTGGACGGTCAACTCATGCTGACAAGGGGTATATGAACATGCAGCAGAGTCCGGAGGGAGGGGTTAAAGACGCAAAATCTCAGCTCGCGGCTCATTTGACGAGACTTGTCCAGGTTTGACTAAACCGAAGTGACAACCGCGTGAACCGCCTACGACTTCACCGTGACTGACCAGCCCTCAGTCCAGTAACAAGCACAACATCCTCTTTCGTCTTCATATTCTGCGCTGCGGCTTTGCCTGGACAAGGTAACTAGCTGCGCTTGGAGGACTCAAGGTTATTAAATGTTGTTTGTGACAATCAGCAGTAAGTACCTGCTAGCTTCAGCTTCTCCGTAGCACTTAGTTTCCGTTCCACCCCATATACAGCAC